GCCGGTGACAGACGTGGTGACTATGGCCCTCCTCCTCCTCACCGCCGCCGTGCCTCCTGCTATCCCTGCTGCCTTGACAACAGGCACTGTGTATGCCCAAAGGAGGCTGAAGAAAAAGAAGATTTTCTGCATCAGCCCACAGAGGATTAATATCTGCGGGCAGATCAACCTTGTTTGCTTTGACAAAGTAAGGGCTTCTCGGGGTACTGAAAGATGCTGGGGGCTGCTAGGAACATGGGATATTTTTTTTTCCACCCCATCTGCCCTGATATAGCCCCAGGGAAAAAATCCTCTACAGGTGCCCATGCAGCAGGGTCACGCTGCAGGCAGAGGCTTCCTTACCCTGCCTGGGAGCTGGGGCAGGACCTCTGGGGACACAGCAGAGGAAAGGGGTGGGTAATAGCAGAGTAATTAGATATTTATTTAAATTTAGACAGGCACGCTGACAGAAGATGGACTGGACCTGTGGGGTGTCATCCCTTCCGAGGGAAGCCGGTAAGGAAGGATGTAATTTAGCAAGAACTAATCTCTATTGTGAATGTACTGCCCAAATGTCTAGTTAGGAGGGAGGAAGTTGCATAGGAGAGACAGCAAATAGCATGCAGCAAGAGATGTTCGGGTGCGTTTGGGGAAGCAGAGTGCAATGGGTGTCCCTGCTCCCTACTAAGCTCCTTCCCTCTGGGGAGGGCATCAGGGTGCTGCTGTGACAGGCATAGCCATAGAGGTCACTGCTAATTCAAGACAAACAGAAGCCAGCAGCAGCATGAGTGCTTTTAATTACCCTCGGGATCTGGAGAATATGCACAGAGCTTTTCAATTATGTCATTCACAGCACAGTTCCATAAATAATCTAGTCAATAAACCTTTCATCATTTAAATGGTGGGATAATGCTCCTTCAAAATTAAGTGTTGCTGACTTCAGTGTCTGTTGGATCTCATCTACCTTCTGTAAATGCTGTGAAAAATCTGAGAGACCATAGATCAGACCTGCAAAGCTCAGTTGTCCTTAGGGACTCTCTCAAAAACCCATAGCAGGCTCCATCTCAGTTCCAAGCCCGAAGACCACTGAAATCCTTAAGAAATAGCCACTATGTAAACATTAAACTTGACTGTATGCAGAATTTAATATTTAATTCATATTACTATAATACAATAACAGACTTTAACTCTGCAGTGCCTTTTATGCTAAACTCAAAATATTAATGTTTTGCAGTGGCCAGGACAAATCACACACCCCATATCTGCTCCCAGGTTTCATTAGTAGTTGTTAATATATCAGATACTTCAACACCGCAGAGATAATCATGCCGTAATGAATGAAAGGATGAATTCATTGTGAGAGAAGAAAAATCACATTCCCAATACTCCCTCAGAGGACAGAGAGAAAATTACTATCTGATGCAAATTAATGACAAAAAATTAATAAGTGTCAAACAATAAAATATTCTTCCAGTGGGACCAAACCACAGGCACACAGTACAATCTCTTCTTGGCTCCCCTCCAGTGCAGCAGGGAGGCCACACTGAATCGGTGTGTTGAACAGGCTTGGAGCCCACCAAAAGGTCATGGTAGTGCCAGAGCTATTTCCACCAAGGCAGCCTTGCAAGTGGTGTCTGGTCACGTGAGCAGAACAAAACTGGATCCATATATCAGAATAAATTAATATAATAAAAAAAACCCCAAATCTCTGTAAGTTATCAAAACATAAGTGTCTTTCCAGACATGTCCAATCTCCACCCTGCCAGGAACTGGTGCTGGTGGCTTGCCAAAACGCAAGGAGGAGCTATTGCTGTCTGCATTGATCTCATTAGACTATTTGCATAATCACTCTTTCTTAAATGTTCACATTTTTAAACATATTGTAAGACTAGCTGTCAGCTAAGCTGAATACTGCAAGGCAATGACAGTAAAGGAATTTCATTCAACTTACAAAATATCCTATTGTATGTTTAATAAGATATAAATGTTTGTTGGTTTTATGTGATGTTTAGCAGTTTCACGGTGTGTCTCAAGTATTTATTAATTAATAAGCCAATTATGACCAGGCTGAGAAAAAGGTATAATTTGCTGGAAACAGAACAGACTTGGATGGCCCAGAGGGACAACAGGTCCTGGTTTCATTGTTCCTTTTAGTAGAGCTCCAAGCTGTCTTGCTGCTTGCATTTCACTGTGCCTGTGATGCATTTCACTGTGCCTGTGTTAGTAACAGGGGATGCTAGTGGTGATCAAAGGTAAATAAGATCTATTTAAATTACTCCTTAACATGCCAGCCTAAATAGTAATGGGCTGTGTTCTGGTCTGGCAGACACAGCTTGTCAGCCAGCCTGTTACTTAGAGGGGAAAAACGCTTTTGTGAGAAGAGAGGACTCTGAGAAACAACTTCCAAGATGAAATTATAGGGCCCTCACCCAGCTCAGCCTCACAGGTGTTCAGTCCATACTGTGGGGCCAAGGAAGGAATAAACAAACCTCAAGGCTTTCCCCAGAAAGAAATTGAGCCATGAATCTTTGACAGCGTGCCTTGGTGTAACTCAGTAGTAGTCAACCAACTTACCCATTTTTCAAACCCAGGTGTGAGGGACAAGCATCTGGTGTCTGTGGCTGTGCAGATGTAAAATCTACATCTGGAGGTGACGGTCAGGCTCCCCGTGGCTCTCCCACATCCTTCCCAGGGGTGCTGAGAGCAGGCTGCTGGTGCTTGGCCACCCAGTGGGTGCACAGCACCAGCCCAAGCAGATGCACCCCCTTTCCATACTGCACTTTCACACGTCTTCTCCTAGGGCTCATTGCCCACCTTTGAGATCCCTGTTGCAAGCTGTTTCCTCTCCAATACCATCTTCTCTGCTTTGTCTAATACCAAACAGCAACTGCTAGGCAGGACTCTTGTGCGTGTGCCAGCTCCTCTGAGCGTTTTACTGTCTCAGCTACTTCAGATCAAGTTGAATTCGTGCTAGTTAACTATTGGGTACTTTTTGGTGTCCTGAATGCATCTGACCTGTTATCGGAAGGATGGGTAGGATGGCATGTTGCTTGCAGTTATTGGATTCAGCTCCACAGCATGCAGCAGAGCAGCACCTGTACGCACTAGCTGAGGACTTGTGTCTCTGCATCCCTCTTATAAGCAGTCCTACTAACTGTCTGCTTTTAATCAGGTTTCAGAAAATCCATAAGTTCCCATCCAGCACTCCTCTGCCCTGGGGACCTGTGTGTGGAGCCATGGCAAGCTGTCATTCACTGGTTGTTTTGGATAAGAAGATTCAGGGAGATCCACTGGACCTGAAAATGTTTGAGGGCACACACTGGGTAATGTGACTCGCATCCTCTACACACATCCAAATCACAGACACCCCAACCCAGCCCATGGGGCTTTACTCACAAGTCAAGCTCAAATACATGCCTGTAGGGGAAACTCCTTTGCAGTCCTGATCATAACAGCTGGAACTTGCTCTGTTATTTCTTCTAACACAGTGACAGATTTGCAGCACTGCAGCTGCTTTTTAATAGTCCAGCAATCATTTTCCTTGGGGCTACCTGCATTTGCTCTCTTAATTTGATGTGGAAACACTGGAGTGTAAGGAAGCAGAGGGGGAACCTGGCTGCTGCTTGCTGGCAGATCAGACCACGCCATTGGGAACATGGTGCAGAGTGTGCAAGGCAGCCAGGGAAGTGCACAGGCAGGTTTTTATGCCCTTATGCTAGCGGCTGTTATCTGTGATCAGCAGAGGGACATACCTAGGGAGAAAGCAAGGCTGGAGCCTCCAGCTGAGTGAACAGCAAGTCTCAGAGGGACCTGGGGAGGAGCTGAGAGATGGACCCTCAGGGCTCACCTGTGGGGATGGAGAGTTGCTTGGGTGGGAGCAGGATGGGAAGAGGCAAGAGAAGGAAAGGGGCTGCTCTTCTCCCTGCCATGTCCTAGTCTGGGGAGGGGAGGGCAGTTCTGGGCCTCTGCGGTTAACTGCCTCATCATCTTTTCTGCTTCAACCTTTTGCTTAAGAGAGATTAATCAGGATGTAAACCAGATGGCAGCTCTTTCAGCAGCACTGCAGGAAGGCATCAGGCTGGTGTTCACTCCTGTGGAAGAGCAGGCAGCAGCAGAGCCACATGACATCATGAAGGGACAATGAGGGTGAATGAGCCTTGGAAGCATGTAAAGTAATAGAGCTGGAGGGCTAAAAGCATCCTAAACTGAAAATTGCCACCCTGTTTCTGCACAGAACATCTGTGAGAGTCTTTTAAAAGCAGGAGACTGGAAGGTGAAACCACCTAGATAAGGATAGTTATTTATCTTTCCCTTCATCATTGATATGGCATTGAATTTATGTGGAACTTAAGTATAGAGAAACCACAAAATTTGACACGGGTTTTTATTCTCATCAAGTCAAAAGACACAGGGCCACGTAGGCTTCTGCTAAGGACAAGGCTGCAGGGAGACCATCACTGATGATGGACAAGAAGACCTATTAGATCATAACAAAACACTCCTGCAACTGGATTCCAACAGTAAAGGGGAAACATGCTTCCATGTGCTGCTGCCCCTGCTTTAACAGACAAGTGTGAAGCCAAAAATAAAAGTATCAGAAATAACATTTTTCCTTGTACAGGAGATAGATGACTCCAGCACAGCTCAGGATGGGGCTGGTGCTCTTGACACCTGCATCGTCAGACCGGGGCCAAAGGCCAGCAGTGTAAGTCCAGTTCTTTATGAGAATCAATATTCTATGCTTTCAACCTGCAGTATGTGCAAACTCATAGCATGTGCACTGTTCATTTACCTGGGCTAGGTGTTGCAAAATGGCTTTCAACCACTCTTGGTACTGGGGTATCTTCCCCAAAACACCCTGGAACCATAGGACCAGAAAAAAACAAGTTCTGATTAAAGTGGAGATGTTGCTCTCAAGAGTCATCTAAAGCACTTATTGTGCCTTAAAATCCCGTCTTTTCCAACTCTGCTATTTGCACTAATAAAAGAAACAGACTTCCCTGAGTTCTCACCCTGTAAAGCTGCTGGCAAAATGAAACTACACAATCAGTTTAAGTGGAAACTAATGCAGAGAAACTGTGTAAAAAGAATAAATGTCTAAAGCATGAGTTCATCTGCAGGAGGAGGCAATGTGAGTAAGGACAAGGCATTACAGCTAGAAGCATGAACATGAGTCCATGACTCCTGCTGGTAATGGTCGTGCAACCCCACTAGTGGATTTATCAGCATCACCCTGAAGCACGGTGTTGTTTGTTTCCCTCTTCCTCCTAAAATTACACTTGGGAAGCTCCAAGTTTTGACAGTAGAAAATTGTTATGTTTGCTGTCCAAATGCTGAACCAGCCAGCATCCTCCCAGTGGAAGGACCGTGATTTCTGCTGGCAGTACTGGGAAAACAGTGCTGTGGTAGCAAAGAAATCAATCTTGTTTCTAGGATTGCTCTGTTCCCATGGTAATGTCACTGTGACACATCAAACTTCAGTTCCCAGGGCTGTAAATGCAGGAATGTTACCTTAATATGTAGTTATTAAGAGAAAGAATGGGATAAAGCCTGTAAAAACAGTTAAATATAAAGAAAAACATTGAGGTTCCTGGGAACCAGACTGGGAAGACAGAGTTGTTGAGACTGTGGTTCCTAAACTTGTAATAAATGATCTGATTCTATAGCCAGAAGGCAGCAAGAGTGAAATAATCTCCTATTAATAATAAATCACTTTATCAAGAAAGCCATAAATGAGCTGAAGTTCAGAATGGATTTGCTTTGTGTAATCAATGACTCAAATAACATCTCACTTTGCTGACCTCTCCAGGCTCCTGTGGAAGGAATAGCAATCCTACATCAATTCCCATTTTCTCCTGGGCTGCAGAGGATGTCTGTTATTTCACAGAAGATTGGAGAGGAACAGTATGATCTGTACATGAAAGGAGCACCAGAAATAGTGTCCGTCTTTTGTAGACAAGAAACTGGTATGGAATTGGGAATGGGCAACTTTACAGTGTTTATTTGGACTTAATCCAAACCAGAGTTTATGTTGGGGTTCTAATCCTAAAAGGTTTCCACTGCTCATTCTTCCCACAAGCCACACTGCAACTGCATGTATATGACTTTTCACAAGCAAGACTTGGGCTTCTTAAATGTCGTTAGTTAATCCTACAAATGAGTTTTCATTGTTTGTTTGTAAGTTAAAGAAGCACACAGCCCACCAGCCAGTGAGATGCACAGCCCAAGGTTCAGCCCTTATACATCCTTTAGCTGACCTGCGTCAGCTGAAGATACAGCGCATAAATAATGTTGATATGTCAAGCTATCCGGGACAGACATAGGATCATGGTAATTGCATATGTCACAGCAAGTGTTTTGTGCTGTACAAGTTCTTAAATTCCCTGCTAATTTATTGCCCTGTAAATTCAGCATTAAGTTAGTGACCCAGCTTACAAAGGCTTTAAATCTCAGTGATGGGAAGCTTGCAGTGGACATGCAAATTACTGTTATTAGGGATAATTGGTATTAACACTCGAGCCAACACTTCTGTCCTCTCTCTGCAAGTAAACAGAGGCTTTTCATTTTGTATGTGAACAATGTTATAGGCTTATACTCAAATTTGTCTGCAAACTTGAAACTTAGGTCACATTCACTGAGTACTTCAAAAGGATGCCAAGCAAACACAGTACCAATGGTCTGTGGCTCTGTGGTTTGTTATTTCAGATGGCACTGACCTGAAAACAGGTGAATATGGTTGTGAGAGACAATGGAAAGACTTAGTTTAGAACCACCTAAGATCTAATGACGCAAACCTTCAAACAAGTCAACATCAGCAAGAAAAATGTCTTCAAAATTATGTTTCAGTTCCTCAGGTTTCTAAATAGCTCCTCTTATCCTGTTTTGATTGTTCCTATATTGATTACAGCTTAATGAATAATTAGGTACCACACTGTAAAGCTGTGATTGCAGTACATAGTGAGTACAAAATACTGCAAAGCTAAAAGCAACTCTGTGCTTTCAAAGTCAGAGGATGATCAGAGAATTGAAAATTTAGGATTTGGGAGAATTCTCACATTAAGGCAAAAAAAATAAAAGCAATTTCCTCAGTTACTCAGCATGTATGCAGTAAAACTTAGGACAGAATTATGAAGTCAGTCATTTGTCCTCTGCCCAGTAATACTTCTTATCTACCTGCACCTTAACATGCATTTAAAAAGTAGAAAACAGTCACATAGATCACTTATTTGAACAGTCAGCTACACAGCCTTGGTACAAAACAGATGACTTCTGTGGGGCCGCAGGGCTGTAACTAAGGTTATAAAGTGGTTTAAAGGACAGGAATGTAACCCTAGAAAAGCAATCAGCAAGGATGGAATATTCTAACCATGAACCTTTTTTTCCTGTAAATAGTCCCAGCTAATTTCTTAAAGGAGCTTAAAACGTACACAAACCAAGGCTTCAGAGTCATTGCCCTGGCCCATAAAGTGCTAAACCTAGGAAAGGATGTTGACCTGAGCAACCTAGAGAGGTAAGGTGTGCTGAGGAGCTGCTGGTGTTGCTGTGGGGTTGCTTTCCTGCCCCAAACCAACCTGCCCTGCCCCAAACCTTCCCCTTGTTTTCTGCCAGACAAAGCCTATTGAGAAGCTGCACCATATAACACCTTCCTCACACTGTTAACTGCCTGCTTTACTACTGCCCTTGCAAGGCTGAGCTGAATTTCAGAATAATCTGTTATCAAAGGGTACTGAAAGCTGTTTCTTTTGCTTCTATATGACAAGAGATGGGAGCTGCAATAGATATTCTGTATGCCATAATCTGTGGGTTTCAGACAGCCAGTTCCTGCAGATCCCTGTCCCTCTCTCTGCACACACATCTCTGTTGCACTGCTCCTTCCTGGAGATAGCAGTGTAGTGGATCAGCAGCTTGGTTGAAGCTGCAGAAATGTTGGTGCCCGTTGAGCACTGCTTGTCTTGAACTCGTAGCAGTTGTTTCCATGCAGAGCAAGTGTGTTTCCCACCGAGCACGGCTTTCCCTTTGAACAAAAACTGCAGGGAGAGCCTTTCCGCCCGGGAAACAGCACGTGTGTTTCTGTCCTTGCTCCAAGAGAGGAGGCAGAGTCTGGGCTGGCGTTCCTGGGCCTCCTGGTGATGGAGAACCACCTGAAGCAGGAGACGAAGCCTGTGCTACAAGAGCTGGCTGCTGCACGTATCAGGAGCGTCATGGTCACAGGTGAATCCCCCCAGGGTCCTCCTGGGGCTGTGCTGGCTCCCGCGGGGCACGCAGGAGAGAGGTTCATTCCTCCAGCATCCTCCACAGCATGTCTGTGGTCTCTACCTGGGCTGCTACCGTGCTGTGGCAGATGTGAGGAGCTTGTCTCTCCACTGTCCTTGCAGGGGACAACCTGCAGACAGCTGTCACAGTGGCCAGGAACGCGGGTATGATTCACATGGGCAGCAAAGTCATCCTTGTTGAAGCAAACGAACCGGAGGGCTCCGCTCCAGCTTCCATTGCCTGGCGACTGGCAGAAGACAGCAAAGCAAACACAGCTGCTCCCAGTGTAAGCACAGTCAGGGATGGTTGCTTTCAGGTGCCAGGGGAAATTAACAAAGCTTTTATGTCTAATTAATGTCTAATGTCCAAGCTCCTTAGGCCTGGACTCCTGGCTAAGGATGTGGAAGTAGCTCTGAGGCACAGAGGGAACCTGGGGGCTGTATCTATCCCAGGGTGCATGAAGGTGTGCTATGGACTGTGCACCTGTTAGCGAGAAATAATTAATGCAGTGGCTCTTTGTTCAGGGCAACATGCAAAATAACTACACAAGTAACTGGCAAAGCTCTGCAGATGCAGTGGCTGCTTCAATCATGCTTGAAGTGTGTGGAGTTAATGCAATGGAACGTACTGGTCTGTGTGACTTTTTGCTGGACCAAACTTCAGTGTCTAAGCTAGCAGGCTGTGGCTAACAGAGATTAGTTACACATGGAAACACAGCTAGAAAATCAAGTACTGCCAGCCGTAAAATTTTACAGAAGGGTGCTGCGGAAGGCTGTGTCCCTGCTTGCCTGGTGGGAGGCTGATGAGGTGGAAGTGAAATGGCATGTTATGACTGCAGTCTGCGAATAAATGCTGTCTTATTTCTAGGAGGCCTGTGCTAATACTGAGGAAACTATCACCTTGGAAGGAGAAACGTGCAACTACCATTTTGCAATGAATGGAAAGTCCTACCAGGTTATTATAAAGCACTTCTACAGCTTGCTGCCAAAAGTAAGTTCAGAGGAAACAAAACACTTACTTGCCCTCCCTGTTTTATTAAGTGGCAGTGGTGTTCTGGCTGGAGAAATGTGTTTTTCTGTCGATAGTTGTAATGTTGTCACTTCACATTTTGACAGCTCTGTGCAGCCTCCCACCATGCCTCAGGTTTAACTTGAACAGTTTGCTTTCAGCGTCTTCTAGGACTTCAAATGACAGAAGTGGCTGCAGTGCTGTGAGCGGCTGCACAGTGGAGTTACTCCATGGTCACCTTCTCAATTTCAGTTTAATTAAAAACATTGCCCCCATTCCTATGTGCCACTGGCATAGCTGGCAATGGCCTCTGCTCAGCAGGGGCATTGGGAACATGAAATACACACATCTAGTTAAAGTCTTCAACTCCGCTCACCCGGTCCATACAATAGCTGGTGCTGAGACAGATTTTTGGATTTTATGCTCTCTGGCCAGGTTTTCAGATAGGATAAACCGCAGGCTGAGCAGTGCTATTGCTGCTGTCATCAACCATCTGTTCTGCACTTGGGAAGCACTTATGACGCTTTGCTGCTCTAAAGACTGCCGCAGAGCAAATGGTGATTGCTGGCTTCCCAGCACCTCCTACGGAGCAGGCAAGGTGGAAAACAGAGCAGGATAAATCTGATGTTAGAGGAAACCTGAACACTAAGGGTAGCAAAACCATAATAGGGTTTGGGAGATGGAATTAGAGAGTTTTACAAGCATCAGGCACCCATCAAGGAGGCCTGGTCCTGCCTCAGTGGAGCAACGGAGGCAGCCCATTGCTCTTTCTTGCAGATACTGATGAATGCGACTGTCTTTGCTAGGATGTCTCCTGGCCAGAAGTCCAGCCTCATTGAAGAGTTTCAGAAACTCAAGTAAGGTTCTCTTTTGTTTTCTTCTTGAACCAAATCAGTAATACGTTTTCTTTGAAGTGTGATTGTCCCAGCTAGCGCTGCTCCAGGCCCATCTTTCCAATCCTGCCTTCCTCCATGCACAACCCCTATTCACATCCTTTGTGGCTACCTTCCTCCCAGTTCCCCTACAGGGATTCCTCTGCACCAGGAGTGCCCACTCCCCTCACCCAGACCTAGACACCACTTCTCTCCTGTGCAGTACAGAAGGCAGCATTAAATGAGGCTGAGATAAAAATCCAGAGGCAGACCCCCACACATACAAATAGCCCCCACCCCCAGCAACTCCCGCACTGCTGCTGGTTCTGCCCTGACTGCAGCTACAGGAAAGCTGAAAACAACCTGATGCAGTTGGGAGTTTGACCCCAAAGATGCTCCTTTAATCCCCCAAAGGAATGTTTCCTTCCCCAAACAGGACTCATGCTAACTATGGATATTGCTTGCTAAGCATAAATGAGATGTGCTTCCTTTCTGAAAAGGAAACAGTTAATTATTGGCTATGAGGTGCCTCCTCTGGGGATGAAATTCTCTACCCTCTCAGAGGGACCTCGTGTGGTTTGGGAGCTGCTGTATTATTTCAGCAATTCCTGTGTCTTTGGATCTACAAAGACAGTCAAGGAGAAAATGCAGGTAAGAGTCAAGCTGCAGCCACAGGACCTGCCGCAAACATGCACAAACTGCTCCCTTTCTAAGGCCCCTGGTACCAAGGGGAAAACACTGGAATAAAGTTGCAGTGTTCCCTTTCCTGTTACAGCCTCTTTCAAAACGTAATCCTGATTTTGCTTTGTGCACTCTGCCCCAACCTCTCCCCATATACAACTTGTCCTCTGGGAACAGCTGCTGCCTTTTCCAGGGCCAACATGAGGCCCCTGCCCTGACGTACCCGCAAGCACTAAGCCAGCGGGCACTCCACCAGGGGATCAAACAGCTACATGCCAGGTTTATGTTTTCCTTCTTCTTCCTCCATCAGTTACTGCGTGGGTATGTGTGGTGATGGCGCCAACGACTGCGGGGTACGTAGGAGCTCATCTCCCATTCTTGTTAAATTTCATCTCTTTCAACCTAAGGAGTGCTGTGACAAGAGGCTGCCCAACACCACTTGTCACTAGCATTTCCCAAGTTAGCCCATGGGTACACTCCATCAGCATGTCACTGTAAAGTACTGTCTACATGCTTTTTTTTTTTTTTTTTATTCTAACATACACAATTACTTAGAGGATTACTATTTCAACTTTTTTTCCCCAGAAATAGGGGTGAGGGACTTTTTCTTACACATTTGTTCAAATTTGCAATTGTAAATTTGAAGGTCTTAGTCATAAAAATAATATTATCTATTATATTATTATACAAAATGTTATCATAATATAACTTTATAATAATGTATTAGCTTGCTTTGTAAAAGTTGTCCATAGCCTACACCTGAGCACTAAATCAGAGGTGACAAGGTCAGGTTACAGGGAGCTTGTAAAACAGCAATAAAAGAAATATGAATGGGAGACTGAAAGGAATAGAAAGAGGATAAAATGCTAATTTAAATACTTTAGGAGACTGCTTAACAGGAGAGGTGTGCACAAACTCCAGTGTGGGAAACAGCATACAGGGGAGTTCAAAGGATTGTAAATAGGTATAATGGGATGGAGGGGTGGAGAGATGTCTCTCTCTCCATCTTACTCCTGTGGATTTCAGGCTTTGAAGACGGCCCATGCAGGGATATCACTCTCAGAGCAGGAGGCATCCGTGGCCTCGCCTTTTACCTCCCAAATCCCCAACATCCAGTGTGTGCTGGAGCTGATCAGGTGAGTTTGCTGGGTGCTGCCTGCTCTGGGCTCAGTGTGTGGGGTCACCAGTGGGTGTGTGCTCCCCTCAAAGATTCTGATAAACCAAGCCTAATTCTTCAGTAACTATATAAAATACAGCAGATGGGGTTTAAAATTGTTTTTTTTTTTTTTGATCCTCAGACTCCAGTGCTGGGAGGTTTTTTGTAGAGCATTGCCCCTGGTGGCTGAAATTTTTGGAACAAGTGCAGCAGGAGAGTCACATGAAAGGGCAGGTATCACAGTGACCACAGAACAGATTTGTTTGTCATTACTTTAAAATATTGCTATCCATATGCTGCACACAGTCATGGAGCTGCCAGTAATAATGCCATGTAACCAAATGTATGCAGGGACAGTTACCTGGTTGTCCAGGTCCCAAAACTGTTGAGCAAATTAGTAATGAAAAAAGCAACAGCAGCTTAATCCAGGTATTAAAATTGTGGCTGCAGAATAAAAACAAAGGAAAAAAAAACACTGCAGAGGAAGGGTAGTTAAGCAGCTCTGAAGTATTTTAAGGCCAAAATATTTGTCTATGGAATTGGAACTGTTTTCTGTTCTTAGAGTTCCTAAACAAAAGTTACCCTTCTTAGAAGCAGAAACCATCTGTAGCACTAAAACCACAGTACTGTAGCTGTAAGTGGGTTTTTCAGCTTTGTTTTGTGTTTTGAGCAGGGAAGGTCGAGCTGCTTTGGTTGCTTCATTTGGTGTGGTTAAATACCTGACCCTGTATGGCATGATTCAGCTTGTTGGTACCTCTCTGATGCTTTGGGTAAGTGTTTCATGCCCATCTTTTATCAGTACACTGTGCTCACCTTGTTACCTGGCAGGGAGGAAAAGGCATACAGAGCTTCAAAGAATAATAGAGATGCGAAAAGCTGGATAATTAATGGCAGGGGGTAGATTGGTTGTAGGGATCGCCAGAACCAGGGAAAAAGCCCAGTGATAAAACTTTATCTCTTCTGAAAGAAGAAAGGGAATTAGAAGGGGGTGAGTCCTGCCTAGCTGGATGGTGGAGGTCCAGGAGAAGGGGGGTTTGGGAGAGCAGCTGGAAAAAAAGCTTGAAAAAGAAGTGTCTCAGGCAGACAAATTAGGGTAGTTAAGTAAGAAGTACCATTGCATATCACCACTGTGTGATGAATTCTCTAAACTTTAATCCATGAAAAGAGAAACAGTGAAGGAAATCCATGTATGTATTTACTCTGGGCCACCTCTCTTGCCTCGGTTCATGCACATCTTCTGTGCACAGTCCCACAGAGGGTGAAGGGCAGAAAGCAAAGTGAGCTGCTGTGAATCTGGCCAGCCTTGGTGGCGAACAGGGAGTGCTGGTGGGTCACCGCATGGGGACAGCTTCCCCAGCCACTAGTTTGGGCACACCAACTTTGTCTATGTCTCCACTGCCCAAAGGCGTTTCAAACCTGGCACAGAGTGAAACCCCAGCTGTCATCGCTATTGCTGTGGGCTGGGAGTGTGTGACCTGATCCAAGTGGTCCAAGGGCATTGGTATCTGCAAGAAGAAGGGTGGAAAAGCATTCAAATGCCACATTCAAATGTTGGGTTGCCCACAAGTGCTATGAATTAGCAAGGGGTTCAGTGGGACCCAGCTGAGAGCTGGCAAGCTGGGTTTGCTAGTCCTCACGGGATTGCATCCGGGCTGTGAGGCTGCTGTTCCTGGCATGACATCATGGCTCTGAAAAAGGATCGGATGCTATAGTTTATATTCAAAGTTGTCATCAGTTCTCAGGTGGTGCTATCTTTGTTTGTGTTCCAGCAACTGCAACTCTTTGGAAATTACCAGTATATGGTACAAGACATCATGATTACCCTTCTGGTTTGCCTAACAAGTAAGCAGCTCGGGGAAGCCAGATGTGTCTGTTTGGGTGCCTGAGTGTAAATGTGTAAAATGAAGTTGATTTCATTTCCCAATAAAAACTCTGCTGTCAGTAACATCAACTATTGATGCTAGAGCAATTTCCAGGGCCCAGAGTGTGGGATTTGCCTCACAGTCCTTTGCAAATACAGCTGCAGACCTCTGTACATTACAGATAGGGTTTGGATGTGAGACTCAACTGGAAGAGGAGCAGTTGCCCTGGTGACAGTTAATGGGGTTCAGGCAGTGTCACTTCAGCTCCTGGTCTTGTGTGTGTTCCTGGGATGAGACCCGGGTACGGCTCTTGGACTCCACGGGAAATCCCTGCCTTCAAGGGAGGATGATATTCCCCATCTTCTCTCTGTGTTCCTCTGAGGGAGGGTTCAGAGGAGGTTCAGGAGGACAACAGTGGAGATCAAAGCAATTTCTTGCCTGCTTATAGAGGGCCAGGCTTTGCAGCTTTCACCTGTGATGAGCAGATGCGGGGGGTCTGTGTGCAGTTCTGCTTGCCCAGGAAATGCAGAGGGATGCTGGCAGGCTGTGCTGCCATGGACTGCAAATGCCTCTGGTTTCTCTGCAGTGAGCTCGACTGAAGCCTATCCAAAGCTGGCACCCTATCGCCCTCCTGGCCAGCTTATCTCTCCTCCGTTGCTGCTCTCTGTCATCCTCAATGTGTGCTTTACCATAATCATGCAAACCTGTGGTTTCCTTCTGGTGAAGCAGCAGCCCTGGTATGTAGCGCTGGCCAGCCAGAGGTAAGTCCCTCTTTTTGTCTCTGATATCCAGCTTGCAGATCGCGTTGCTGCCATGTGCAGAGGACACTCCAGCCTCACTGTGACCTGCAGCCGGGTATACCATAAGACCCA